TCTCTTTACCAGGCTGTTAAACCAGCACAGCTGATTTTTCCGTTTATTCCATGTCATTAACTAATGACATGTATTAACTACATGTATTAACATGTAACATGTAACTCCATGCATTAACTAATATATTAAGGAGGTTGGTACTGGAAAGTTTTTTTTCCAATAACAGACAACACAGAAAATGCCTCTAACTGAAACATTTTCTGAGTCATGCAAAACAAGGCTTATATAAGCCTTAACAATGATTAAGATCAGAGAATATTGAAAAACAGGGAAAACTGCTGAATAAATTGCCCACTTTTTTGATTTTGTGCATTTACTTCATTATTTGTACATCCATCAATGGATGGCTACAAGCTTTCAGAAGGTGAAGGAGATGAAGTAGAGGCAGTGCAATGGCTCTCTGCATCAGGGAGTATTTTGACTTCGCAGAGCTCAAGGTGATGATAGGGTTGTACAACTATGGGTAAGACTCAGGGGGCTAACAACACAAACATCCTGATGGAAGCCTACTATAGACCACCCAATCAGGATGAAGAGGTGGAAAAAATATTCTGTGAGCAGCTAGTAAGTAAACTCATGACCACTGGACCTTGTTCTTATGAGAAGTCTTAGTCTGCCAGATATCTATTCAGCAGAGAGGAGGCAGTCTAGGAAGTTTCTGGAATGCATGGTGTGGTAGTTTGACATTAAAGAAAAAAATGTGGAAAACACTCAGGGAAGTGATTTACCTCAGAGAGGCTGCTGGGAGTTTCTCTCTGCTTGAGATCAGCCCAATAGCTGGCCAGTTCTGAGAATTGACAGCATTTTGCACCACTGAAAAGTGAGATCGCCTTTGTGAACACCACCTTTTAAAAACAAAGCCCAGGAACTTCTGGCTCTCTTTCTTTCTGGCCTTGAAAGATATTGGAGCTCTGGTGCAGCTAGCCCTGCTTCCCTGCAGCCTGGGTGTGGGGGTGCTGGGCTGAACTCCAGCAGCTCCTGGGCAGGGGATGGGGGCTGCAGGGCTTCCCCCTGGCCCCAGGCTGGGCCAGGCTCTGCTGCAGCCCCTCCCAGGAAACCCTCCAGGTCCCATTCCAGTGGGGTGGCTGAAGCCCTTCCCAGGGGCCCCCAGCCCTAGGCTGGGCCAGGCCACAGCTGCTGACATCTCGCCGATATTTCCCCCCATGGCCTGCACAGAGAGCTCCAGGCCAAGCACCATTTGCTCTGGGCTGAAAGAGGCACCAAAGCGGTTTGAAATCTGACACCATCAATACCTGGCCGAGGCTTGGGCCAGATTCAACCCTTTCACTACACAGATGAGACCTAGAGACTTTAATCTCCTCTCCAGAGAGAGGAAAGTGGGAGTGATTGACATGTAAAAGACAACATGAAACATCAAGTCAGTAAGAGAAAGAGTCAAGCCTCAGATGGAAGGAGAATGAGGAGATGCTTTAATAAGCTGAAATATTCTTTTGGTAGGGCCATGGAGATGGACAATAATGTTCTGAAAAACTCCTTTAATTCATTAGAGAGTACTGGGGGGGATGAAGTATTCAAACTGTAAGCCTGAGCAAAGGTATCCATTGATGTGCTAAGTAGATGGTGGAGTAACTGTGATCCCATGAGATGCTTGAACAGAAAGAGAGAGAGAGAGAAAGAGAAGTGAGAGCTGATGAAGACCCTTTGCCCCAGGGAGAGAAGAAGAAAACATCTGTTCCCCTAGATGATTACAGAGACAGATGAAGAGAACCTTTGGCTTTGAATAACTCATCCTTAAAATAGGACCCCTTGAGTTCATGACCCATGGACACGCCTCTGAGTGGTGTGAAAATGGGAAGAAATGGCAGAGTTTTTTTCCCCAGGCAGCTGCTATTCATAAAAATGAGAAACCACGAGAAAACTGTTTTCTTGTAGAGAACTTTCCATGGAATGACAACAGAAAACTTCCCTCCCTACAGAGACTGATGAAAAGACTATTGTAAAGTTAGTACTGCTTTAACATCCCAGGTTTTGTCTCTACATTGTCAGCTCAGAAAGGAAAAAGTTGGGTGGAAGGAGAAAAGGTTTCTCAAAGTTTTATTCTGGTTTCTTATTTCCTGTAGTCCTGTTAATGAAGTTTCTTTATTCCTTTTCAGTTTTAAGCCTGTTTTACCCTTCTCCTAATCCATATCTCACATCAAAAAATTAATAAGTACTCTGGTGACTTTAGCTAGTGCTAAAACCCACCACACATGGAAAATAACTTCCTTACACAGCTGTTACGAGTCTACCAGCAATGAGGTCCTGCTGGACCTGCAGTTTACAAACAGAAAGACTGGTAGGAGATGTGGTGGAAGGAGATTGTCTTGGGCACAATGACCATGAAATGATAAGAGTTTTTCATTCTTGGTAAAGTAAGGAAGAAATCCGGCCTATTCAGGACACTGGTTTGGATAGTCCCCTTCACAGGCCTGAAGGCTCAGGAGCATCCTTAGGGGTTAAAAGACAAGATGGTGGGGAAGAAGAGTGGCCTGGCTGAACAAGGAGCACGGAGCTTTCACAGGAACTCACTGAAAAGGGAAGAGTTTATGACCTTTAGAAAAGGGGGCAGGCACCTCTTGAAGAGTAGTACAAGGATGTGATGAGATCATGTAGAGAAAAAACTAAAAAGGTGAAAGTTCAACTACAGCTGGCCAGTGCTGTGAAAAGAATAAAAAGTGTTTTTATAAATACATCAACAACAAGAGGAGGGCCAAGGAAAATCTCCATGTTTTATTGCAGGCAGGAATATTGTCGGGCGGGGGGAGAGGGGGGAATATTGTCACTGAGGCTAAAGAAAATGCCAAGGTACTTAATGCCTTCTTTGCCTCAGTAAGAGAGTTTTCCTACAGCTGTTTCCCTGAGCTGGTAGACAAGGAGTAGAACAGATCCCCTGTAATCCAGGAGAAAGTATTCAGTAGCTTGCTGTGCCACTTAGATACTCAGTCTATGGTGCCAGATGGGATTCACCCAGGGGAGTTGAGGGAGCTGACAGAAGAGTTCACCAAGCTGCTCTCCATCATTTATTACCAGTCCTGGTTAACTGGGAAGGTCCCAGAGGACCAGAGGTTGGTCAATGTCATGCCCATCAACAAGAAGTTTCAGGGCCTGTCAGCCTGACCCCAGTGCCATGAAAGGTTATTGGACAGATTATCTTAATAATGATCACACAGCACATACAGGGCAAGCAGGAAATTGGGCCCAGCCAGCAGGGGTTTGTAGAAAGCAGGTTCTGCTTGACCAACAGGATCTTCCTTAATGAGCATCCATGGACTTGGACATGGGAAAAGCTGTTGATGTTGTCTGTCTAGACTTCAGCAAAGCCACTGATATTGCCTCTCACAGCATTCTCCTGGAGAAACTAGTACCTCATGGCTTGGATAGACACGCTGATCACTGTTCAAAAATTCATCTGCATGGCTGGGTACAAAGAGTGGTGGTGCATGGAGTTACCATGGTGATGGTCATTAACAACTGGTGTTCCCCAGAACACAGTACTGGGGCCAGTTCTGTTCTAATAGCTTTATCAATCATCTAGACAAGGGGATTGAGTGCACCCTCAGTTTGCAGATGACACCAAGCTGTGTGGGAGTGTTGATCTGCTGGAGGGCAGGCAGGCTCTGCAGAGGGATCTGGACAGGCTGAATCATGGGCCAAGGCCGTGCTGTGAGGTTCAACAAGGCACAGAGCTGGGTCCTGCCCTCGGGTCACAACAGCCCCAGGCAGTGCCACAGGCTGGGGCAGAGTGGCTGGAAAGCTGCCCAGAGGAAAAGGCCCTGGGGGTGCTGGTGACAGCAGCTGAACAGGAGCCAGCAGTGCCCAGGTGGCCAAGGAGTCCAATGGCATCCTGGCCTGTGCCAGCAATAGTGTGGCCAGCAGGAGCAGGGCAGGGATTGTTCCCATGAGGCCACATTTCAAATGCTGTGTTCTGTTTTGGGCCCCTCACTACAGGAAAGACATTGAGCTGCTGGAGTGAAACCAGAGAAGGGCAATGAAGCTGGTGAAGTCTCTTGAGCACAAGTCCTGTGAGGAGTGGTTGAGAGAGCTGAGGGTGTTAGCCTGGAGAAAAGGAGGCTCAAGGGGGACCTTCTCATCACTCACTACAACTGCCTAAAAGGAGGTTGTAGTGAGGTAGGGGTTGGTCTCTTCTTTCAGGCATCAAATGACAGGATGAGAGAATACAGGCTCAAGCTGCACCAGGGGAGGTTCAGGCTGGACATCAGGAAGAATTTTTCAGTGAAAGGGTGGTCAGGCACTGGAAGAACAGCCCAGGGAAGCAGTAGAGTCACCATCCCTTGATGCATTCAAGAAACAACTGGATGTGGCACTTAGTACTACAGTTCAGCTGATAAATTGTCTAAGTTGTTTGATCAGTCAAAGGTTGGACAGAGTGATCTTGCAATTTTTTTTCTAACATTATGGATTCTATGATTCTATGCTGTACACAAAAAAAAAGGAAGACATGCACAGCACAGAACAAGATTTCAGTCTAAAATATCTTCACATACACACCCCAAATGCTTTATTATATTGTACTACTACAAGTTTTCTGATTAGATTTAAGATGAGAAAAAATTGAACTTTTTTCTTATACTTTATTTGAAGTTTCACTATTTATGTTCCTTCCCAGGCATCAAAATTCCTAGTTAAACTAAATGCTTTCACAAACAGTAAAGCTTAAAGGAAATTTAAGAGAAGAAGTTGTCTTCACATACATTAACCTCAATGCACGTAGCTTCCACTTAAAAATACCCACAAACAGAATTGGTTTTGGAGAACAATAAATACATTAAGCAGCAAACAAAACTGACTACTGAGAGCAATAAATATTGCTGGAAGTATAATACCTACTATCAAAATAACAACTAAAAATAAAATTTGAATGGCAGCTTAATGTATTATCTGATCTAATAGTTATCCCTTTCTCATCACCTTCCAGAGATTCTCATAAAGAAACAACCACAGGAAATATTTCCTTTCACATCAATTTTCTGCTTACTTACCAATTTTGCTGCTTTTCCATAATCAATCCATCGAATGGTGGCAAAGTTTGTTGACTCAGCACAATTAAATCCATGGTTAAACCCTGCATGGTATCCATATGGGAAAGTGATCATAAATTCTCCCGCCTCTTGAGTAACCTGCAACAATAAAAAAGAATTTTTAAAGGCCAAAATTAATAAACTTTTAAAAAGCCTTAAAATAAAGCATGTTACAAAGCATTTCTAGTCCTACAGCAGTGAAAACTACATATGCCCTTACAACTAACTAAAACAAAGAATTTTTTTTCACATGGCACATAAATGAGATCTAATACAAACAGGAACAGTATACTTGAGACAATGTTCTTTACTCTCAAATACATAGCTAAGTGCAATATTTAACAAATTCAGAAAGAACTCAAAGAAGTCAGTCTTGAAGCAGAGGTTCACTAGTAATAAAACCTGGAAGTAACTAGAAAAGACAGGATGAAGAATATATCATTCTTACTGGCTGAGAGGAAGCAAAGACCAGCTGGATTAAAATACCCACAATTACCATGCCTAAATCTGCAGAATGCTGCTGTCTTTCACCTCTTTCTCTTTAGGCAACATTTTAGACAGCAGAAACATTCTGGCACTACTGGTAACAAGAATTCCAAATAACTAAAGGATAAGTGGGGTAGAAGGAGGTTCTGAAAGACAAAAGACTTGACTACAGTTAAACTCTGACATTGTTTTAGAGACAGAGCAAGGATAACTGCAAAAGACTACAACCAAAAGAAAATGTGTGAATACAACTGGATCAACAAGATACTATAGAAAGCAGAAAAAAAAATTTAAAAAAAGGAAAATTAAAGGCCAACCTAAAACTCACTTCACAGTGATTGTATTTTGTATATACAAAAATAACCCAAATTCCAACTAGTTTTAAGAGACATATCAGACTTGAAAAGCTTTTAGACTAAACCACAAAAAAAAGGTGAGTGGTAACATAGACAAATCACTAGTCAGATTATTTTCTTTCAGGGAGAAATCTCATCTTCCTACACTAGGAAGGACTGCTGCTCTCCTACATGGGGAAAAAAGGAGACAGCACTTCTTGTCAGTCAGTAATATTCTCTCCACACAGTGACAGCTTTAATCTCCTAAAGTCAGACCACCAGAGACTTTATCAAGGACAGGCTAGTCAGGGACTTGAAACAGCACACTGTCTTCTGAATTATCTGATAAGAGTTAATGAATAAAGTAGATTATACAGAGTAGTTAAAAGAGATTCTCCATGCTCTGTTTGATACACATTTTACATGAAATACAATCAGACAACAGACCCACTAAAAGCAAACAGATCTATTTTAATGTTGCAAATAATCTAGCAAATAATCTGAGCGGTGACTGATGACTATTCAACATATGCATTTGTTGATTACAGGAAAATAAGGAGTGTCTAAATAGATTGTTTTCAGTGTGTGGCAACGCTTACATAAGCAATACAGTTAAGAAAAAATTGGATGGACAAATATGACTCTCTTTAAGGACATACCCTTATGACTCAAAATCACAAAAAGGTAGGGTTAAATTTTAAAGTCACCAAAATTAAAACTAACACCTTCAAAATTTTTCTTTTTAATTTCATGTCCTAAATCTCAGCTTTCTACTAGTATAGCTGCCTTAAATTTAATTTCTGCTTTTACAATCTCCTTCAAAATTGTTATTTTACTATTTTATAAATTCTTTTTGTGCTTTTTTGCCCAGTGCAAGAACATACAGGGTTAGCACTTCAGAGAGGTCTATTTCTGATTGTATTAAGGGATGAAGGAAACAGAGGAAAACAAGAAAAATAGCCAACAAGGCTAGAGAAAAAAACTGGATCTTAAATGTTGCATGGTTAAATTTTTTGTGGATTCATATTTAATATATACATGCAAATGCACACATAGTTGCATATATTGTAACCAGTACTGTAGCACTTCAACAATTGCTGTGGGAATGTTTAAGAAAGATTATTCGCAACACTAACAATTCCAAAATTTATCTCAATACACCCTCCCACTGCTGACAGTTTAGCAGGTGTTCTATTGCAACAAGCAGCAGTTCAGCTGCCACCTGGTAGGCGTAGGCTGACTTATCAGCATTCAGCACATTTCCACTCCTATCACTTTGAGCCATGAGAGATCACAGCCTGGTTCTCTCTATTCACTTTCTCACTGAATCCCATTAATTACAATTACACTTGGGTACAGTCTGCATCCTCCAAAGACTAGGTGACAGAACCAAACTTAAATATTTAACTGTTTGTAGCACTTTTTCTTTTTTCCCCCCTCTCTTTAGAGGATTATTATCCTCTAAATTAGAATATAGGCATAATCAAAACACCAAAATACAAAGGTCAACTCCCTTACCCTACCTCAAATGCATCATACTGAAAATAAGTATGCTGACATTCTGCAATATGCTACTTAAAACACTAACCACTGAAAATTATACAGTTCAGAGTAATGTTCTGTAAATCCAAAACTATAAATCTGGTTATAAAACCATCCAGCTTGGAAAGTTTCACCTGACACTTTATGATAAAGCACAAGCCTATGAAGGGAATCAGTATATTTGCCTATATATACTATGAAAACTCAGCAGCTACATTTCCATATGATAATAAATCATTCAGAAAACAAACTCCTTATTTTATGAGTAATTTATTCAAAAAAGCTTGCTTTCCAAGGCAGGCAGTATCATTCTAAATGCCTACATTTCCTCAATTTTACACATAGGTTGACTTAAGCATGAAAGGTGAAGTGATGTTCTAAAAAGGCATAAAACACATCTGTGTCTTCATCTCATCTGTGTCACTAACATGACTGGTAACACAGAGGTGTTCTGGTTCTTGTTGGGCATGTCTTACACAGCATCAAGACCTTTCTGCCCCCCAAATCATTCCACCGGTGAGGAGGATGGGGGTGCACAAAAAATTCGGAGGGGACAGCTGCACCCATGGTATCCTCCTCAATACATAAAGCTGTGAGAAAAAGAAGGCATGCCAATTGTTTGGAGTGGTGACATTTGTCCTGCCAAGTCACCATGACACATGACAGAGCTCTGCATGACAAGACTCTGCTTTCCTGGGAATGACTAAACACCTGCCTGTCCACGGGAAGCAGTGAATGAACTCCTTGTTTTGCTTGGCTTGTGTGCACAGCCTTCCCTTTCCCTCTTCCTATTAAACTGTCTGTGTCTCAAACTATGAGTTTTCTACCTTTTATCATTCCAGTTCTCACCCCATCCCACCAAGGGGGAGTGAGCAAGCACCTGACTGGTTTTTAGGTTCCAGCTGGGCAAAAACATATATGAAAATACTCTCTTTTTTTTGTTTGTTTGGGTTTTATTTAATAGTTGGGAAAAGATCAACTAAACCAGACAGGAAGCACTGCATTATCCTATATTTTAGGCCAGGGGAAACATGTTAAGCAAAGTTTATGCTCACATTATATCAATAAATAAATAGCACAAAAATACACAAAACCAGAAAACACAATAATAAGCAAGGATAGTTTATATGACCATACTGCAGTGGGAATAAACTGAGAAAAAGCATATATTGCCTATTTCTTCTGAACAAGTTAAAACAGTCTGTGCAATAGGAATCATAGCCCTTTAATGATCAAAAGCATTGTAAAAACTCAGTATAAAGACAAACAGATATTCTGGCAGGGGACATTCTGAATCAAGTTCTAGTCTTCTAAGTAGGCTTACAGAACTCCTAAATTTAGAACTTTAGAATTTATAAAATGTACAGAATAAGTACACTTAATTAAAAAAAAAGCCATGCACTGAAAATATTTTGTTAGCTGGCACCTACATGAAGTTGAAAGTGGAAAACAATTAATACAGAATATCTTGTAGAAAGCAAAAGAAACAGAATAGGTCAGATGTTTTTTAAAAGCAGCTATGTATTAAATTCAACCACAAAGAAGGAATACAGGTATTGTTCTCATTTTCTGTTTCTATAATGTTCTTATTAAATGTTTATTCTGCCACTACCTAACAGTCAAAAATAATCATATATTCTTTTTCTATTATGTTACAGCTTTTAAAATATATTTTAAATTAAATAACAGTTCTTTTGGCTTTATTCCACTTAAACCTTTCATATGCTTATAATGATAAAGTTATATTTAATTGCATTAGAAAAGCAACATACAGATATAAAGAAATTAATTGCTTGTGTTAAAATATTAGATATATAACTTAACAGAGTGAGTTAACAAGTGTTTCAGTCAACAGAAAATCACATCCAAGGTACCATGGAAATAAATTAAAAATAAGAAATAAGTAATGTCTTAGAAAAAAATCACAGAAATGCTGTAATGGTTACAAGTGTTTATTGCTAGAAAATTCTCTGCTAAAAGTATTTTAAGTTTTAACACATATTTTAATGCAGCTACTACCTTAAAAAAACCCATCACCTTTACTTCAACAATATTTATACTAAACACAGTCTAATTCAATTTATGAAAGTAGTGTTTAAAAAGAAACATTAACATACCTTGTCAAAAGGAATTCCGTACTTTTTCAATATTGACGGAGAAATCAGGGTCATCTTGTGGCGAAGAAAAGCATCACATCCTTGAGAGCTGCTAGGAAAGAACCCTAATAAGGCAAGAAAAGCAAAATTACACATCTTTTCATTAAATCAAATAGGAAATCTTTGTAGTATTTTTCAATACTTAACACTGTTTAGACTTGCTGTAGAATTTTGTGTCATGTCATCCCTAGGTTCCCAGAGATTTCACAAAAATCAAATGCACCTTCTAAGTTTTTCAACTGCTTCCCAGAGGGAGGGGCTAGAGGGTCATCCTTTTTTGTTAAGAAGTGAAATGATTTAGAATAAATGTGGAACTGTACACTTAAGCATACTTTTTTACCCTTCAGAGAAATATATTGTTGATGGTAAATTATTTTTTATGCTAATGCTCATTCTGCACACATGAAAATCAATTGCAGGAAATAACTTTAGAAGGATTCAATGAAGACTAAGTTTACCTCACACTTACAAACCATCTATACAGTAAACAAATACAGTTTCCTAACTTTGTACAATCTGTTGTATTCCTCTCATATAAATAAATGGTATTTCACCATTCACAGAAGCAGGTTAGTTTTTGGAAAAACATGCTTACTCAATTATTAAAAAAATAATAATTCCTTTTCAGTAAGCCATCTGAATTTTTTCAGTGCCTCAAGGAAAAAAAAAATTAACTATAATTTTCCATAATATATTGCTTTCTCTCTAATGTCAGATTTTATTTCTTCAGTCTGGTGAGTCTTATACATTACGTCTATTAACCATCCTAAAACTTCAGAACAATCTAGAAGTTATCCTATTACAATTGTTAAATTGTACATTCAATCTAGCATGCTCACCAGTACTGGAAGAACAATATTTTTCTGATTTCTCAGAAATAAGGTTAAGCAGCACTTAAACAGCAAAGGTATAATGTAGACCTTATGATAGTCAATGTACTAGAAAGCCTGCTAAGCTGCCCTGATATCAAATTTTATCCAAATTTGTCATTCTTAATTTTTTTCTCACCAACAACAAGCACAGAATTCTTTACATTCTCTTTGAATTGCAAATAATGTTGCAAGTTTCAAAAAGTACTATTTGATAGGTACAGTTATATATATGTGGCTTCACAGATTGAAAGACATTTAAAAGAAACTAGCTCACAATCAGTGGACTCCAGAAAAAAAAAAAAAAATCAGCTATTTTTTCACAAGTAATGCCAATGACATTAATGATAACAATCAAAACTTAGAATCTACAGTTTCTGAGAATCAAGAAATCTCAGTCCTGGGCATTATAATAATAATAATAAATATATGGGAACTTACTGTGAAAAATGTGATTGAAAATGATACTTGAGACTTGAGGGTAAAGCTGGTATGAAAAGTAGCTTAAAGCTTAATGGCTAAAAGCAGAGTGAGTTTAACTGAATTTTCCTTGAGAAAATAAATTTTGTACCAAATTATGTTACTGCAATATGCTTAATTAGCTTAACACAAGATGATAAAAAGCAAACGATGGGCAGACATCCAAAACGTAAGCTGTACCACTGCAGCTCCCAGAGATCAGACATAGCTGTGACAAGTCCAACCAGAAGGCAGGCTTGTTGCTGAATTCCAAGAAAGTTGCAAATAACACAGAGCAGCAGAATACAACCTGCTCAAAATCCACTACTAGAAATTTACAGAAGAACATTTGCTGTGGTTACAGAGCCCTCACAGTGAAACTGAAGTGCAGCCTACACATTCTGTACTGTTATAAAATATCTTTTAAGTTGTCAAAGTCAACACTTACGCACACAAATTTCTCAGTCTCATTCACCTCATTTTCTCAAAGGAACTCCCCTTCAATGAACAAGGAAGGAAAGAAAGATAGTATTTCCTCAATACTCAGAAGTATTGTCTTATATATGTATAAGACAATAATATCTCTATAGTCCTTACAAGACTCCCTTTATCAGAAGATCTTTTGTTTGCCAGGCTAAACATAAGGTCACACAAGCTCTTCTCCTGGAAAATAAAATCCCTGTGGGAAAACTGGCTAACAGATGTAAAAAATACTGCATAGAGGACTTTGCATTAGAAATATTAAGACTCTTACAAAAACAGCAAATGCAGGCCAATTCAAGATATGCCCACAATATTAAGAATCATTCTGAAATACCAAGTTGATGTTAAAATTAGCAATCAAAAGGATTACCAAGTAGTCCTGCACGTTTAGTGAAATCCCGCATTCTAAAGAAAAAATATTGAAATCTATCTAGAATGTAACTGCTATTTAAATTCTGTACAACATTCATGCTTTTAAGGGACACATGAAATTTTATTTTAATCCATTAACACTAATCCACTAAGTCTAAATCAGTTCTGCAAGAGCAGGTATGTTGTAGGAATTCACATACAACCACAGTTTCTTGGATGGCCTCTTGAGACATGGCAGACCCATACCCTATTCATCTCCTTGGAAATGATTACAAAGAAACAAAATAAGAATTCAAAACAATTACTTCATATAAGCCAATGAGAAATAATCAGAGCTCAGGGTAAAACTGAATAAGGTTGCTCATTGATTTATGTCCATGAGAAAAAAGCAATCAAATTGAAAATTCTCCAATACATGGTTTATAGAAACAATGACATTTTTAACAGCTAGAGCAGAATTAGAACAGTCTACATGGTAAGTATGTGGTTCAATATTTGCTGGCAAAATGTCTGGGTACGAACAAGAGGACATTTATCCACCAAATTCAAGATTTCTCTCAGCTTTTTAAAACCCTTGTTTAGTTAGCCCAAGCAGCAACAGCAAAGAGTATGTGAAAGCATAGGCTTCAGACTCTGTTAACAACCAAAACATGCCCTTACAAGACTCTATATACATACTCTTAACAGATAACAAAGCCCAAAATGTCCAATCTTACTAATGCTATGGGTACAAACAAAATTATACTACTTTAGTAACAGCAATGTCACTTGACTGGGGAAGACAAATCCTTAGTCAACGCTATTCCACCACAGCATAATCTTTCCACAGAATTTAAGGTTTTATAATCCGAATATATGCTAGAGAGAAGTCAAAGCCTTCTCATCTTTCAGTAAAGTACTAGTAGTGGGCACTCAGCAGATTCCGTGCCATGGAGGGATATAGAACATATTTTTTAAAAAATAAGTTCAAATTTCTAAATTATTTAAATTATTAAGAGACGGGAAGTATTGCTAGTCTCATCTTTCCATTCCATCCTCAGAGTGTCTTTCCAACATATCACATGCAGCTCATATCAGATGATCACATCAATATCACGCCTATCACTCAGCCAAACTGAAGTGGATTGGGTTCCATTCCCTGGTTGATTAGCATTTTCAAGATACTCAGAATGCTACTTTATGCTACTGGGAATGTGCCCACAATGTTTTCAACTACATTGTCCAGCTAAAGTCATATACACACAAATTACAATACTTTTCCCAAAAGTATACCTCTACAACTCCACTGGACTGAACAGGTTGGCTTCCTATATTTTACCTTGAATGAACAAGGAAATTCTAATTTGGTCACAAATAAAGTAATTTTTTAATGACATCCACATAAAATCATATTCTTAGGGAACTTTCAAATCAAATCCTGACCAGTGAAATGAATTAAGCTAGACATCCTATAATTTTCAGCACTCCCTTACTCAAGACTTCACCTGAAATTTAAAGATGTTGCATTTCTTGTTAATATTCTTTAAAATTAAAAAAAATATATAATCATAAAACTCACAACATAAGAGAAAGAATATCCTGAATTGAAAATATCTTTAATGTAGTTTAATGTTAATGACAGTAAAAAAAAATAAATAAAATTAACATGATTTAAGCTCAGGGTTATAATTATTTTTTGTTTATGCAGATCTTCATTTAAAGGACTTATACAAAATATTAATCATAATTTGCAGATCAGTACTCTCAAAACAATGGCAGAGATTTCTTAAGTACTAAGTTTTCTAGTAATTATCTTTTTAGATTTTACTTTGGTAGGTATAAATATAAACTTTATGTAATTTATTTAAATTATTTTGCCATGATCTGAACTAATTTGATTTAACTTTCTGTGTTGAATATGAAAGAAATTAGGAGGCTAAGTTTGCATAATAACAACCATCACAAAGGAACAATGGCAATTTTTATGCTATACAAAGCAGAGTACAAAAGTCGCAAAGAGGCTTTCAAGTGGAATGAAATACAACTATAGGTATACCCAGATGAACATGTTCCAGCCAAATTTATTATCTCTTAAATAAGACTCTTCTTACTTGACTAATTCTTTTTTTGACAAAAAGCTCAACTCTTCAACTGCTAAAGTTTTCACACTCAAGATCCTTAGAAGTTATGCAAGTTCTACTTCCAAGCCTCATTTCAACAATTAATTTGCTTTCATAAATAACAGGTAATAATAAATAACTTCTGCATCAAATGAAGTAACTAATACTATACACCATACAAAGCTTTGTACAACAACCATACATACTTACAATATATTAAACTTTATTTTAGTTTCTTCTTTAACATAATTGAACATCACAGGTAGATGTCATCTCCTTTCTAAAACAGTTTCTGCACTCAAACGATCTATTAAAAGATCTTCAAAATCCTTCAGTCTGCCATTTCTCATTTGCCACTCCACCTCTATTCTCTTTATTTTCTAGCCCATTTTGTGAAACAAAAAATCCTTTAAGAATACCATGGTATTACAGATGAACATAACAACACGTATAAAAATTGCAGTTAACAGCTCACTTGAGATTTTTATTACATTTATGTCTACATAAAATTGAAAAAAAATCTACATAAATGAGAAAGCAGCTGAAGGGCAAAATCAAACTGTTGTCTTTATTAGATGCAAGTCTAATGTCTTTCAGACAAAGCACTTGTAGGCGCCACAGTCAATCAAGATTTCAACGGAAAGCAAAAATGAAAGCATTCATGCACAAAAGGCATGCGTTGTAATTGTGATGTGCAGACAAGATAATGGAAAATATTCTAACCTTCCTTTAATTTTATGTATCAACTGCTGCCTTGACTTAGACAACCTGTCACATTTAACATATTATTTTATTATTTTAATTATTTAGGAGCATTCAATTAATTCAGTAGGCATCTGGTCATCAGAGCTAACCTTCCTGAATAAACAACTTTCTTCTTCCTTCAAATGCTGCAGTCATGCAAAAATATTTTGTCTACAAATGGTATTAAGTACAAAGGTCTCATTTACACTATGTTTTATTAATGTTTTCTTTTTAAGTGACTTGCAGCCGTGCAGTTTACTTTATGCTTTCATCTTTGTAAGATACCTCATGTGAAACAGGCTGTATTTTCAAAGACACCAGTTGCAAAGTAGAGGATCGCAGTATGGAAACAATAAGAAATGGTAACTTTCAGGTTTGTTTTTTTTTAAAAAGTGCTTTTTTTTGGTCATCATAATAGCATTATCTTCCTCATTCCACTCTCAGCTATTAGATAGACCAAAAATACCATGGAAACAATCTTCTCACAGAAAAATATCCCAGACTACATTAAAATCATATACTAAACACTTAGATTCACAGACAACACTCTTCAACATTTCCTAACTCATCTATCTTATATTGCTGCTACAACAATAATCTCTCTATGAGTACCTAGTTTTCCTACAGAAATCCAGCTTCATTTGGTAAATGTAATGGAATCAACACTATTTGAAATTTTATCATCTCTATTCAGTATCTGATTCTATGCTTTATTTGCTATTTGCTATTCAAAACATAGTACTGAAATAAAAATAATTAAGTAATGATCATAAACACGATTCATCAAGGAAGTTTTCCATTCACCCCACAGGTCTTTGTAGTTTATACTAACATAAAATTAAGAGCAGCAGTGGACAATTTACTTCTATGCAGATGAGTCTAAATTCTGACTAGCACTTGGATAGCAAGACACTGTTGCTCCATTAAAACATACTAGTTTCTGAAAAACAGTGGCCTTGGAAATCTCCATTTCTCCATTGCTTAACATCCCATTTCTATTACTTTATTTGACCACCATCTGCAGTAAGAGGGCTGTGTACCTTCAGGCCAGTTTTCTAACATAACACTTTCTTTTTCCATGTGGCAAAACATGTATCTCCAAAAATTACCTACTTCCTGAATTTGTATAGTTTACTCTAGTATCTACAGAAATCGAAGTATTTCAAGGGAAGAAGGAACTTTTTTTTGCCTACAACAAATAATGCCATGCCTCAATACCACTGCATTTTCAGAAATGAGTGAACACGTGTTGCTTCAACTGCCCATCCTTTTCTCTCTCACTCTGAAAATAAAGAAAAATTCAATGCATACTCACTACAGCACATTTAAACTTGAATGGTTTTAGAACACTCCACAGCTGTTCTCGAGCAACATGAAATCTACAATAAATGCCAGAGCAGCCAAAAAACATCATGTGTAAAGTCTATCTACCAAAAGATCTTGCTCCCATCAAATGTCAGAACTGTGTATGAAGAAGCACTTGCATACCGGATGGAAAGCTGGCTTCTGCTGACTAATCCAGTAGCAAATAGTTGCTGCTCCAAGATGTCTACAGCCAGGGCAGTTCCTATGTATTTCTAACATATTTCTGTGTCATTGCTCCAATCTCCTCAGAATGCATTAAAATTTTAGAATCCACCAAGAAGAGTAAAGAATGCATACTCCAAAATAAACCATCTCCTTAGGCTTACTTTGAACCTGACAGGGCACTTCATTTGGAGTCTCTACATATACTGGAAGACTCAATGAACAATAACTTTTTGGTCACCTTGCCATGTCAGTCATCGCAAGTCTTTACCATACCCACTTCCCATTATTTATACTTCTTCTCAATAAAAAGTTAGAATTCACTAGAAATTATGAAAAGAAAAAGGCAATTTTTTCTTTCAAAATCTTTCAAAAAAATCCTAGTGCCTCTCCTTTTCTCTACTTCTTTTATTCTTCCACCCTTTCTTGTAAAATTAAACAAAGAAAATGGGTGACAACTTTTTCAAATGAAACTATGACAAACTTTCAGAATAGGAAATGTAATTATTCAGGTTGAAATCTGTTTTCCTGAGACATGCTTTTAAGACTGGAAGATCACAGGTCTTTACTTTCACATCATTAACTGCAATAGTTTTATAATAGCTCAGAAAAGCAGTCATGCACCCATATACTAAGGAGAAAAAAAAAAAAGAAAACAAAATGTATACAAATTTTCAGAATTTTGTCCTGATACACAAGATCTAACTATGAACTTTCAATAGCATTCCTTTCCTCTAATTCTATTTCATTAAGCATTCTATTCTATAATTTCTTTAATAGTTATTAGCAAGCTATAAAACATGGCTGACAGGCCAAGAAACATCCCTAATTATTCCTGTGTTCATAATTTGCACTTTTAATTCAGAAACAAAAATAGAGGTGCAGTAGTATTGAAAAGGAAACAAATTACTGAGTGAGAATCTTTCTAGAGACTAGTAATTTTTATCCCTGAGACCTCAATCTTACAATTGTATCTCTGCTCCTTCTTCCAAACATTTCTGGTGCCTCTAAATGGCAAGAGCCAGTACATGCTTTAGCTAAAGTGGATCTATATGCCTGCTCAATAGTCAGCAAGCTGCTAACAAATAAGATATAGTGTTTCAACACTTTGTCTCCTTACCCCTTCACAGAGGCACTAACCAGGACTCCTCCTCTACCCAACCATCAACTTTCATTAAACTTTTGAAGACTCATCTGTCTTCAATATTTCTATCTCTGTATCAAATTTGGGTAAGAAGATTCAAAAAGTTGCAGATGAAAAGAAGCTAGGACAAGAAAGAGCAAGGGCACAGAGGAGACAAAGATACCAGCAATGAGAATCTAATGAACAACAAAATACTAAACCTCATTCTTCTAAGTTTCACCAAGCTAAAAATGCCAGTACAAAAATAAATTCTCTTATTCTAAGAAGCAAAAAAATAAAACAAAAAAAACTCACAACAGCAACAAACAAACATACAAAAAAACCCAAAAAACAAAGAACTACCTTAATTCTTAAGAATTCCTCAGGGCAGTAACACTGTAGACACATCAAAGTCACACAACATTAAGTAATAAAACAGTAGATGAGTCAAGAACAGTGTTTCTCACTTTCCTCAAGGGTTGTCCTTCAAACACCATACAGTTGAAAATATCAGAAATCCTACCTTGAGCTAGTCTTTCAAGCCGTTTCCCATGCTCTGGAGGAATAGCATACCTAAAATCCACATAAAGGAAAGGATGAAATGCTTAAAGACATAATTACTACATAATGACTAAAAGTCATCATTCATGTATGATAAATATCTAACAATACAGAGGACTAAAAGATTAAAGACTGAAAACTTACACAGAAAAAAAAATATACCAACATCTAAGGGAAAAAATACAGATATTGGGTTCTGGAGGGGCAGGGATTTGAGAAAAAATTAGCTTATTTCTAGTTTAAACATTATACTACGTTGTTCCAAAATGTTATATTCACTATTTAAAGTAATGTCCATTGACATTATTTGATATTATTACATCACCAAAATTTAAAAAGAAACATATACTTTATCTTTCCAAATTAAAGGAAAAAATGTAAAATAAGTCTAATTTAAACAAATTCAATTTATTTGAATTTTAGTATGCTTTACAAGACACGAGGGTTCAGCAGAAAGATATGAGCATTAAACATCTCTATTTTTTCCTATAGCAAAAGCTGTGGAATAAAATGGTTACTCTCCCTTGTAGAATCATTACAATTAGTGTTTTATATTATCAAAGAAATAATTTCTTTCTTTAATAAACTTTAATTTACAGAATTGTACATATCTTAGAAACCCACTGTTCTTACAATAATCTGATTTTTTAAACAATTCCACATGCTATCTCCAACAATTCAGCAAAAACATAAAAGAACATATTATTTTAATGTTTACTGCAGCCAAAAAATAGAAAACTACTGAAAAGTTGTTTCATTTCTGCTTCTTTTTGTTAATAAGATACTTACTGTACTTCATAGACTTACTGTATGTTTTAAGTAGATTTATTATTGACTTAACTGCTTTACTATGTGATATAACAGGCTTTTGCTTCATTTTAATGTTGCAATAACACTGGATTTATTCTTCTCTATTAAAAAAATATGGTTCAGGAACAAAGAAAATGTATACTCAGTTGTACAAGGTAGTCCAAATCCACACTGTTAAACCAAGTAAACACAGAGTCTTTTACTACACTGTGAACACATTTCACTCATCAGCTTTGAAAACTCACTCAGAAAAACAAGCAATAAACATCCACCTACCTCAAGTTGTTATTTGCACACACACTAAAATTTTACAGTTTTATTCATTACAGCTGAAACACCTGCATGGAAGACCACTACAGAAATCAGTGCTCCATAAGCCAAACACATGCATACTGACAACTTCTATCAAATGGTATTAAACAAAAAGACTTTCAGCTTACTATACTCAGGGTTTGCAGTTTTAATCAGAATTTTGCTGTATCACAAAAATGCACTTTGCTTCTCCTCCATTTGTACTTCAAAGTGTTTGTGACTGTTTTTCACTCCATATTACACAAGCAGCAGTGTATCCATACCAATCTAAACTATATGTTTGCCATCCTTCACACTCCATCAGAGAAAAATGCTATGTATAGCATTATGCACTGTAGTGTGTGTCTTTAAATACACAACTCCATAAAGCAAGACATGAACAGATACTGTTTATGTCTAACAAAAAAACTCAAAACTAGATACTGTTCTTTGGCCCTAACTGAACTGGTGTTCCTCCTAAACTGTTACTCGTTCAAAAGCGCATGATGTACAATTTAATAGTAATGTAGCGCCACATGCTTCCATTTGTACACATAAACACGTCAATATCACAAAAATACGGAAGTCAACTAAGCTCTCAGTAAGTCTTTCAAAAAGACAGTGCATGATTTAACTGCACTAGAGCTATCTATTTAGCTAATCTAAAATTACAAAGCAATACAACATATTAAATACAAGTTTGTGTTTTTCATCTTAGCCTTCACCTGGGCTTCATCTTCTACTCAATCCTTTACTTCTTCCCTCTGTTGCAATTGCTTGTTTCTCACAGCTAAGACAATGACAAAGGAATGGAGACAAACAACCCTTGGTACTATGATACATTACGAGTCCCAAAGCCACTCTTGGTAACAGTTCAGGCTTGATTCCTAATACAATTTATTAGAAAACTGAGCTTAGCACATGTGCAAGCACACCTGCCTTTCATGGTGAATCTTGGTGGATTCCTGGTCTACTCTACATTAAACAAAAAGCTCCCAAATTCAAATGACCTAGTAAGGGAAAAAAAAGTATCACAGAATTCACAGGATGACCTTCAAGATCATCAACTCCAACCCATGCCCTAACACCTCAACTAGATAATGGCACCAAGTGCCACAGCCAGTCTTTTTTAAACACATCCAGGGATGGCGACTCCACCACCTCCCTGGGCAGATCATTTCAGTATTGTATCACTCTTTCTGTAATAAACTTTTTCCTAATATCCAACCAATATTTCCCTTGGTGCAGCTTGAGACTGTGTCCTCTCGTTCTGTCAGTTGCTGCCTGGATAAAGAGACCAGCCCCCACCTGCCTACAAGCACCTCTCAGGAAGCTGTAGAGAGTGGTAAGGTCTCCTCTGAGTCTCCTTTTCTCCAGGCTAAACAACCCCAGCTCCCTCAGCCCTTCCTCACAGGGTTTGTGTTCCCAGCCCCTCACCAGCCTCGTTGCCTCCTCTGGATGTGCTCAAGTGTCTCAATGTCCTTCCTGAACTGAAGGGCCAGAACTGGACACAGCACTCCAGGTGTGGCCTCACCAGTGCTGAGTACAGGGGGAGAATGACCTCCCTGCTCCTGCTGGCCACACTATTCCTGATCCAGGGGCCATTGGCCTTCTTGGCCACCAGGGCACACTGCTGGCTCATGTCCAGCTGGCTGTCACCAGCACCCCCAGGTCCCTTTCTGCCTGAGCACTGTCCAGCCACACCATCCCCAGCCTGTAGTGCTGCACGGGGTTATTGTGGCCAAAATGCAGGACTCGGCACTTGGACTTATTAAACTTCATCCCACTGGACTCTGCCCATCCTTCCAACCATTCCAGGTCTCTCTGCAGAGCCCTCCTCCCTTCCAACAGACCAACATACACTCCCAGTGTATCCACTCTTAACAGCTAGCTTATATGAGAATTCAAACATCTAAAAGCTCTTAGAAAAATATCTTCATCTCATGTCCAGCTTCCTTTTAGCCATATTACCAAACACAGCAACTAACATTTGTGTGACTTCTCATACAATAAGGTCCAGTCCAGGCAATAAGGTCAAGCTAATGTAATGTAATGTAATGAAATGTAATGGTAAATCACTAAGAGGCAAAAAGAGTGTTTCTTGGACAACAAGCATATAAACAAAAAAAAAAGTTAAGAAAAGACAAAAAGGGAATTGATGATACTAACTAGATCTTAATTTTTATTAGCTCATAAAGACATACTTGGCAAACTATGAAGAGTTACCGTTCATTGACAGTCATACTACAAGGACAGAAAAAACACGGTACATAATTTAGTCAGCTGAAATAAACAGAAATCTTAAAAAAATAAAAATAAAAATAAAAATTTAACTTGCCATGACTTTGGCTCCCCAAAATGGAGATAATTAATACTGTAGAGATCCATGTCTTCAGTGTGCCACGCAAATGTTGTTTTCCACATGCCAAAATAAAGATATGGTGTATTTACACCCTCGATAGAAATTCCACACTCTTCTCCTACAACATCCAATATTGTATTAAGATGGGCAATATTCCATTCCTCAATACCCTGAAAAAGATACATAATAAAAATATTACAAAACTTAAAAAGCAATACAATTTTATATAACAGTCCCAGTCAAAAGATACATACTTGATGTAGCCTTTTAAAAGACAGTCTGTTGACACATATTTGTAAGCACTTTAGAAGTCACTTGAAATTACTTGAAGAAAAATTCTCTTGACCTCAGTATTAGATCAGGTTGTAAGTCTAAGATGTTCAAAGCAGAGGACATAACAAGTTCCTATCTGGTTTACAATCTTCTATCAAATCTAACATGGATTGAAACACCATACAACATACAAAAAGGTGCACAGAAAAATAGAAATAACAGCTGTAGACAAAACCCTCAATGAGTTGATAGATGGAAGCCACTAAGTTTCACAGCAACTATCAATGCTTTTTTATTACTTATGAAGTAATACCAAATAGTACAAAAAATGGGTTTAAAAAATCATTTTACATGCATAAATTTACCATTTATCTGGAAAGTACAAAAACTAAAATGATTACTTCATTTCAGATGTATTTCTAATCATAATGATGCACTGCATAAGAAATATATCACAGAATAAATCTATTGATTTCAGGGGATTTAAGTTGTTTCCCTATGTTAGTGCCCATAAAATTTGTGTATTAAAAGTCATTCAGAAAGCAATTCATGTAGCTTTTGTTGCACTTCACATTCAACTGCAAACTGCAATTCTAATTTCAGGTAATACAGCATGTAAGAAACAGTATAACCAAGATCAAAGCTACAAAATTGAAGAGAAAAAATTAGACTTCATTATAACAGCAATTATTAACACCTCTAGGGAAGACATTAGCTGGTGCTCAAGCAGTCAAAAAACCAAGAAATATAATCAAAACTATAAAAACTCAATTCAGACAAGTTTTATTGGGAAGACAGCCTCTAAGCACACTCTTAACAATGAGCTGCTTTGCCCAACACCCATCACCGAATCTGCGGTACTGGTAATCTTACTGGGGAATGAATTGATGGTAGACTGCAGTACTGATGCAGCAGATTAAGACTAAGTATGATGATAATAAATACTTGGAAAGCTAGTTGGACAAACAGTTGGAATAGTAAGAACACTGGTTAAAGCAAGAAGTAGTGAAGATTTAACACTCTCAGTTTTTATTTGTTTTTTGAGAATTCTGTGTCAAGCATGTTATTTATGAAGCAGCTAGAATTGACAGACAAGGTAACATCTGTATAAAGTTCAGACTTCTCATTGAACAAGCACTTCTAATCACCTGCTTTGGCTATTTCACTTCTTAAGAAATACAAAGTTATTTGGAATTTTACAAATGAGTAAATGAGTTTACAGAATTATTTCATTTCAGACAGCATTTTCTCTTCTTTTAAAATGGAAGCCTTGTGTTTGATGGATTTATGAAACATAAAGGCACTTGAAATTTAAAAAGTAAAAAAAAAATAACATTTATATCCTAGTAAAAGAAGAAACACTCATCTGAACTCAAAAGAGTAGATGCTTGTAAAATTTGCACCTTTCAAATATAAAAAGTGCCAGCAGCAACTTAATACAGCTTAAAATAAAAAATTTGAAGCAATAATTTTTATGTAGTAAATCCTCAAATTAATTAACAAATTTTATTTTTTTAAATCACATTAATTTTTTTCTCTGTTTACAAACAGTGCAGTTCATTTGGAGAAACAAATTAATACAGCAAACTAGCAGCAATGATTCAACCACAGATACAGGATATAGAGGATTAGAAGAAACTGTTAATCTAGGCAGCTACTCTGACAGTGGCCAGTGTAAGTACTGCAGCAATTTGCACTTCTTCAGACAGAAGATGTGTTACCTTTCTATTTAACAGTATTCCATGGGATTTTTTACCCATTATTCATCCCATCTAAACCTTTCACCCACGTGAGCTTCGAACAGCCCTAACATCCTGAAATCTAAGTCTTCTACTTACAATTAAGTAATAGCTAAGAGAATATACTTTTTTTTTTAAGAACACATCTCATCTTTACACTCTGTTAACTCGTATCACAACTAGTCACCGGGCAAACTGCTAGTGATTTATCCTCAAACAAAAGCAATTCCTATCATGGAGATCAATCCTAGAACAAGTAACTTGCTTCAAAATACCAAACATACCAAATAAACAATCCACAACTTCTAAACTCAAGACAGATGAGCTACTTCCTTTTCCTAAAGACTATTTTGGACAAGTATTCTTAGCTCAAAAGGAAATGTTCACTGAAACTGGCCAAAGCACTAAAATCACACTGATTCATTTCAACTCTTCCTAAGTTATTTAGACTTAAAAGGATAAATCAATTTCTTATTTATGCCCAGTGTTAAAAGTAATTATTACAAATTATTATTAAATATATTACTTTACCTCACAGGTTTTCTTTTAATATTCACAAACATTAAATAAAATGCTTGTACAATTTTAAAGTAAAATATTGATTCTTATTTTTACAGTAGTTGTATAATAGGTTTTAGACGTAGCAATTGCAATGCACACTAAAAGATCCCAGCTGTTAAAGTCCACTTTAATAGGTCAGTACATAGCCATACTTCTCAAATTTTAAGAATATTTTTGCAATATCTGTGCTATATTTAATAACAATTGTTAGAACAACAGTACATGTACTACTTGACCATGACATATATCTGACAGTTTCTTATATATACATATATATTTAAGCATTATAATCAATTTCATATTAAGAAAATACAAAATATTCTCCTCAAAATATCACAATACTATCAGAATATTGCAATAATTGCAAAGGACTATGTCAAGATACGATTTCTAATTTAACCACATTTCTGATTGTAAATTCTTTAAAGAACACTTGTCATCACTGACAACTGTACCACACAATCCAATACCTAGAAAAACTTCTCTTTTCAGTGGTTTTCCTTCTATAAGGTAACACAGGCTTGAAAAACCTTACCAATTATGGTCATTGCTATGCACATTATACTTACCTTGTATTTCCTTAGGGAAATATTATAAGGTACATAGTCATTTATATAGAAGACCACTATTCCAATCTGCATTCATTTTGAAGGTGATTCAAACTTACTGTAAATTACTATCAAGAGTTTTTATTACTTTTAACAGCCTTTGCATCTGCTTTTAATGCAATAAGGAGACCAAATGGGATACTTGACAAGCATTTCTTATGTGAATATCGGCACACTTTGGAAGGAGCTGACCCATTGTTTTCTCAAAGACACAAAGAAAAACGTTTACCTCAGCACATTGGTAAAAAGTTCACAGTTGAAATCTCCAATCTCTTTGCAAATAATAATAAAATAGGCTACAAGTGCAATAATTTTTTATTAATTTTTTTAAGTACTTATACAATGAAGTAGTGACACGAAACTAGTCTTTTCACTTTACTTAAACCAGTCAATACTGTCATGAACATGATTTCTGTATGTACACATTATTACACACTATCATTTTTCAGTGTTCAATTTTTCCTTTCATTATCTCACAGCTTCATTTCAGTATTAATCTGGCGAACAAGACATCAGTTGCACAATTAAGATTGAAGAGTCCTTATGACTGACTGTAACAACTCAAAAAATAAAGAAGAGCAAAAAACCTAATTAAGAGATAGAGTGGAAAGGAATACGACAAACATTAGAGAAAGAATTATGCTTGGTAACCCACTCTTCTCTCCACATAAACATTCACTCACATCAATGAATATAATAAAACTACTGCCAGGCTTTTACTGTGCCTTGAAAGTCATTAAAACAGAAGAAGAAAAATGCTACAAACAAAATCTCTACACCATAAACACACAGATTAGGAAATACAAACAATCTCCCTCATTAGATTGCTTTTACTTCTCATCATCTTACTCTCATCATCAAGGATATAGTCATCGCTTTTTAAGCACCCTTTTGAAGGGTGGGCAAGTAGATTCTTTGGAAATCATACTAAAACCTAAATTACTGCTCACATGGGTCTCAACTATGGGTAGATCATAGAAAAAGGACATTCTAGAATAGAAGGAATAGAATAATTTGGGTTGGAAAAGACCTTTAAGACCATCAAAAACTTGGGTCTGCTAAGGCTAAACCATGTTCCCTGCACCATACCTACAGGTCTTTAAAATGTGCTCAAGGACAGTGACACAGCTACTTCCCTGGGCAAGACTGCCCCAGTGACTGGTACTATTTCCTTTCCATGAAAAAGCATTTCTTAAAATCCAAAGTAAACCGCCCCACTAGCACAACTTGAGGCAGTTTACTTTAGTCCTGTTGCCTTCACTCTGGAGAAAAGATCAACACCCACCTGGCTACAACTTCCTTTCAAGCAGCGGTGGAGAGTGATTAAGGTCCCCTCTGAGCCTCCTTCCCTTCAGGCTTAACAACCCCCAGCTCCCTCAGCTGCTCTTTTTAGGGCTTATACTTCAGACCCTTCACCTCCCTTCACATTCTGTTGTCCTTTTCTGGACATGCTCCAGCATGTCAACATTGTGCCCAAATTTTGAGGCCCAAAACAGAACACAGGATTTGAGGTGTGGCCTCACCAGTGTGGAGTATAGGGGACAATCCCTGCCCTGCTCCTGCTGGCCACACTATTGCTGGCACAGGCCAGGATGCCATTGGCCTCCTTGGCCACCTGGGCACTGCTGGCTCCTGTTCAGCTGCTGTCACCAGCACCCCCAGGGCCTTTTCCTCTGCCTCGGGCTGTTGTGACCCAAGGGCAAGACCCAGTCCTTGGCTTACTGAGCCTCACACTGCTGTCCTCAGTCCACAGATCCATCCTGTCCAGATTCCCCTGCAGAGCCTTCCTACCCCACAGCAGAGCAACATCCCACCCAACTTGGTATTCTCTTCAAACTGACGGAGGGTGAACTCTTATATCATGTATGCTCCCCACACCTTATATGTGCAACAAGGTATGCATTAGGAATTGTCTTATCAGGAGAAATAAAACTAAGAGGAGGAAAATGAAAATAAAATGTGTCTTTCACACAGCAGCTGAGGAGAGTAGTGAGAGAGACACAAAATAATATTTATACATGCTTCTTCTAAACTTGGCTTTTCTCTGCAGAATAGCAGATGCCACTGTCAGCACTTAAGTTTTATGACTCATTATAAACTTATAAACTGAATCAGTCATTTTTCTCTGGAAATTCTTTTGAAACCAGGAAGATTTCCCCCCCTTCCCAGTAGCTAGATCCAATCTTGCCTTTTTTAGAGTTACCTACAAGGGATTCTCCTACAAAGCATTGCCGTTAAATGTAACGGCAATTAGAATGCAAATAATATAGAATAATATCGCCAACAAACCTTCAACTATATAGAGTTTATCTTCTATGAAGTTCTATAGAGCACACAGAACACTTGTTTTCATAAATTCATTGCTTATTTGTAAAGATTTAATCTGAGTTCAAAACCATCAAATAGTCATAAAGATTTTAAACAGATTCTGGAATAACCCAAATACTACAAGGATAAACCTGAACCATTGGTAGTAGTTGTTACACTTCAAAGCATGCACTCATAGCCTTGTTTCTTTACTTCTCTGTTTTCATTGGGTTGTCTATTTGTTTTGTGGGTTCTTCTTCTGTTTCACGTAACACAGCCTTTAGAAAATTTTTCCCCATCTTCCAAACCCCTCAGTACCTACCATTCTGTGGTCTAAACAAGCAAATACTTCAAAATCTATGATCTCTCATACACATACAAGTATGTGTCGCATTTTCTTTATGTTCCTAGTAGTTTTTTACCTGGAATTCTGTCAGATATTTACCGTAAGTGTAACATCTCTAACACATGGTTTTCTACAATTTGCATTTCGTAAAAAGTAAGCATTTGTTCTGTTTCTTGCAAACAGGCCACCATAAAAAATTAATCCCACCATATGCTTTCTCCTCAGTGCTGCCAAAAATGTCAGTGATTTGTATTTCTCCCCTTTCCCTAAATAATCACAATCCTGAAGGAAACTGAATGAAGACATGAGAACAACCTCCAATTTAAAAAAAAAATCAAAAAGATCCCTCTTAATACTATCTTCAAATGTTAAGACATGAAAAATATTAGTTGTGCAAGTACACCATCTGCTGGCCAAAAATTAACTGCGGCAAAATTATTCTAAGAGACAACATTTTGACTAGTGGCATCATAACTTTCTCACCAAACTCTGGTACTAGAGAATATGCCTTCTTTTCTTCTATATACCAAGTGGGCTGGCTGTACACAAGCACCTGGCTGTCACATTAAGTGCTCAATCTGCTCAAATTCCTTAATGTCAACTCCTTTCACTAACATTTCTCCTTTGCTATTTGTTTTTAAATTATAACCATTTTATTATACGAATCAATGATTCTTTATTCTCCCTTTTATTGCATTCTTCCCCCGTGATTGCAACTTTCCATGCTTAGTTTCCATATCTTACGCACTTTACATCTGAGTTAGGATCCCTAAATGCTAATTTTCTCACTTGCCTCTTTGCTTTTCTTTGACCTTCCTTCCTCCTCTTTCCAAGAGTGTGATTCTGTAAGAAGGAAGTCTCTGACCTTCTCTTTCACCAGTCAGCACTTTCAAATTGGATATTATTGCATTCAGTCTCTTTTCTTTGGAAATGTTGCTCATGCAAGTGTAAACTAAGATACTAAACATGAAAAAAAACACAATCCAAAAAAAGTATGTATTTGTAGAAAGTTATACCATAAGGCATTATCTGCCAACAATAAAGACACAAACATCAAAGAAAAAGGGCAAGCTTCTGTTTCTTGAAATATTGTTTTTCTCTGCCTTGTGTCGGTCTTCACAAAGGAACAGCAACCTAAAATGTCTCTCCACAGAAACATTCCAAATTAGAATCTTCAATTATTTTCTAAATGATTTCTCAAGGCAGCTGTGTGGACACACAAGAGAATTTGAATTTGCTTTCTCTAAAAAACATACCATTGGACATTCTTAGCTGTCTTTCAATAATCACATAACTCAGTGAAAAAACTGAATTGCCTTCAGCAATATTGGCTGACCGTATTTATCTTTGGACAGTCTTCAATTTATCTTCTGTGAAGAACTGTGAAACACTAGGAGAGCCTCAGATAATCTGCCACAGCAAAATCATACTTTTTTTTAACAATGATTGGAAAAGCAGTTACATAGAACATGAAATAACCCAAGAAATTCACATATGGTATTTTCTTTTCATACAAATTTGTCCTGTGCTTTTTAAATCCTCAAATCTTTTCTGAAATGCTAACATGTCTTCTCTTAGTCTCATTACTTAAATAACCCTTCAGAAATCTAGTTCCTGTCTTACTTACATAGCCAAATCGGTATCAATGGATATTCTGTAATTCTTCAGATAATGCAATCTGTTTTAATAGTCCTTTTATTATCCATGGAGATCTTGTCAACTAACCCGCAAAATTAATTTCCTTAGGAAATTTTAATTTCATCGGTTTTAATTGAAAGGTAAACAGTACGAGTAAGTACATTTCCAGGAAACTGCAGACATTTCAAGGATGAAGTACAGCTAGCAAATTTCTCAGTGAAAGATATAGAAGTATCCATCTTTTAATTTTAAAGTAAAACTTAGTTAAAATATCTCTTGATTTCCATAGATACACACAGGAAACATACATACTAGAACATTATTAAGCAATTAAGTAAGTAGGAAGGAATGTCAAATTTCTGGAGAGTTCAAAGTGAAGAAAGGGAAGAGTCATGATCAGGAAGAGTAGCAATATTCTACTGTCTAAGGCCAGAACTCTCTGACTCTTGCAGATGTAGAGTTAATTTCAACCTTGCTTGGAGGCTTTAAAGGGTAACACAAAGATTTCAAAAGACAGATTCTCAGTCACAAAGCAAGAGTGTATCCTCTAAGTAGAGTACCCTTTAAAAGAGGGCTGGAAGGGATAAACTTCATAAAAAACTATGCATACTTCATCATAAATGCTCCCATTGATATCTGCTCCATAAATTGGTGCCACAAAAGTCAAGTTCTTCCAGTATTTACGCTCCAGATCTTCATAGTCTACATATCTTGGAGTGCGGTATCTGCAGAGAAAGAGGTAGGCAAAGGTTCATCACTGTCTTTCAACAACCGCCTTTACAACAGACTACGCTTCTGAACCTCCAAGATGAAGTCACTTTTTTAAAAATTCTCAGAAACAGAAGAATTACCAGTTGCCCTGAATTCTTAGTTTCATGATTAACCATATCATGGAAACCTTGTACCTGACAGTTACAGGAACTAAAGTCATCTACCAGCCCACATAATATTTGATTCAGTCTCCAGCAACAAATCAGCCCACCATCCTTATCTACCCATCCTTATCCACACACCATCCTTAGGCTGAGACCCTTCATTTTAGTTCTCTTCAGTAAAAAGAAGACACACATGGAAAACACAATTAACAAGTATTTTTTTTTTTCCTACCTTACTACCACCTCTGGAAAGACTCAGATAATGGTCTTGTAAAAGCTTATCTCACAACAATCTCAGACACTCACAATCACAAAACTCAGCCATGCAGCCCTCACAGGCAAAAGCAATACTTCCTTCTCTTCTTTCTGCCTCAGAAAAACCTTTCAAGAAAAGCTGCTGTTTCAAACAGCTCCTACAAAAAATTCTGTGATGCAGAGAAAAGAAATATTTAAGGAAATTCTTCCTTTTTACTCCTTTAAAACAGCACGAGATACATAACACACACACGCTCAAATATATTTATGTAAATACTTTTGAAAGGTTATTCATACAACCTTTCATAATCTTGTGGGAACTCAACACAAGCACACTACCATAGGAACATCAATCAATAGCTTTGCCTCTGGATCCTTTGTCAGATCTCTATAGTTCCATATTTCAGTCTTCAGAAAAGAAAACTTACTCCCCCATTACTGCAACTCTGAGAACTACAGTTTCATAGTAGAACTGCCAGTATGCTACACTTGAGCAACTGAAAAGAAAATCCAAACATACAACACTGAGACCAAGTACATTTATATAATGTAATAACTCAGAACAGAGACAAAAAAAAATAAATTGCAAAGTACATCTTAACCAAAGCACTCTCAGCAACAGAATTGTTTGAATTATTTCTCATGATAGCTCCAGAAATCGGATTGAATTTCTGTTGGGCCCTGAGTAACATGCACACATTAATTACTTGATTACAGGATGCAGATTTCATCCTGTAAAATGCTCCTATCTCCCAGATGTAAACAAAGAAGCATTTTGGTTCAATGGTGAGCTTCAAATGTCTAAACAAATACAAGCTGAAATGCATTAGACTGAGTACACCTAATCCTTCTAAAGGCAACTATGATTTAATTTAGATGTTCATGGCCCTTCTCTCTTACACAAAGGAAATAGATAACATCCTAATAATCAAGAAAAAACTTTTTAACAGAGAACTCTTCTGCTTTAGGGAACAAAATTATGGGAGAACAGAGGCTCTCAGCTACTTGATAGTTTAAGAAATATCGACTGCAGTAAGAGTGTCATAGATGGTTATGAGACACATTTTCTCAAGAGCAGTGACAAATATTTGGAAAGACCTACAGCTAGTAATAGAGAGAAGGTCCTCCTGACTGTTCCATATTTGCATGCAAAATTAGGTTACCATCTGATTTCAATAAAAACAAAAATTGAAATCAGAAACACTTCAAAAATATATTTCACGATTAATATAATGAACTTAAAAAACACTATTAATACTGTGTGTTAAATTAAATTTTGCACAAGTAATATATATTTGCTATTCTTTGTAATTTGGAGAAAAAAAAATAGGTTGTCAGTTTTGCACTATCATGAAGGCATGGATACTATGGAATATTTGCCAAGGAGCCTCCTTAAAAGCTTTATATGTCCTAGTTTTTCTTGATCTTGGTAACAGCTTCTATTCTTACACCTAATTTCTTAATTAACCTATAATAGAAACTTGCTTTCAAACTAAGGCCATATTACCTTCCCTCATTCAAATATCTTTTTTTCTAAGATCCTTTGACTCATCTTCCAGAGAAACTACTTCCACTCTGTTTTGAGGAAATAGTCAAGTAAAATACATTCTTCTTATGTAGCCAAAATGACAGGCAAGAATTCCATCTATCAATTTCCTCTTCTCAGAATACTTAACAATTTGAACATTTCAGTACAATGCCCAGCCTTTCACAAGCTTTTTTTCCTCCCCTCCCATAATATCCATCTTGCCATAACCAAGACACATTCACTAGACACCACTGAGTTCTCTTAGATTAATGCAAAAGCTTCTGGATTGGTTATAAAAGATACTGGAGTTTTCAGAATTACATGGTGATAGGCCATTCTAGTATCCAGGAATTAAACAGTAATAGGTGTAATCAAATTAAAACTCAGATACACATCTGTATCATCTTCACTTATTTCTACATCTTCTGGAACATAAAGAAAAACAGGTAGACAGAAAGCATCATGTCTCAGGTTTTTCATATGCTTTCTTGCTGCCATAGTATCAGACGCTTTCAACAACATAAACACGAACAATATTCACATTGTGGTACCCTTCCATACCTTGAGAGACAGGAAAAAAAGTAAAAGTAATCACCAGTTGCCTTGCACAATTAAAAAAAAAAACACAACATGTGAAGATAAGTATTTGTCTTACTTAAGAAAGAGTACATACTTGTCACTGTTGGCTAGCTGCTTGAACTCCTTCACTGTCATGGGCTTTTTCTGAATATTGTACTGTGTGAAAAGTCCAGACTGGCCAGTGACCATCTGTTGAATTGGAGCAGGAATCACCAGATCTTCAATATCATCATAATGTTTTCTTGGTTTCCATTCCTTTGGTGGGATAACCTTTAAATTCAAGAAACAAAATAGAACATCACTGTCTTGATAACAATTGAAAACATCATGGAAAAAAGCTGAAAGAAGAGTTGAATATGCCCACATGATTAAAGGAACATTTGCTTACCAGCTGTTTCACACTAACTGATATTGTATGTGCTCCTAGACAATGCAGATACTCATTCAAAACACACAATCACCTCAATAAATTCACAAGCAGCAACTCATCAATCTACAGCAATTCATAGACAACTGTGCAAAAATACACATTTATAATCAGAGTTTACAAATTTTTTACAGTCAGCTGTTATAATTGACAAATAGTTTGCAATCCATGATATCATATGTGTTTAGTGTCAAAAAACATGTGTATGTTGCTTTGGAAATACAGTTTAGAGGTGAACACATAGGTGCTAAGTCAAAAGCTAGACTCTATGATCTTAGATGTCTTTTTCACACCTAAAGATTCAAAGATACAAAATTTTTATCCTCAATTAAAATCTACATTTCTAAAAAAACCTATTAGTCCCCTGTCTAAACATTATGTGGTATAAACAGTATGTATAACTCTATTTGTTTTACTGAAGAGTGAAAAAAATACAGCTGTTTCAGATTCCAGAAACTGTTCAATTTACTCCCCATAAAACTACAGGGTACAACTCTATTACAGTAAGAGTGTGCTCCAATTTAGATACATTAGCTTTTATAATTACATTATTTAATCCTCATAATTGAAGATTAAAACTATGTGCAGATTAACCAGCTGTAAAGTTAACACATTTATTTCAAATACCACAAAACTACCCACAGTCTTTGAAGACTCCTTAGCAGATTCTAAAGCAAAAGAAATCATTAAGAATTTCAAGAAGCCTGTATTCATACCACTGTTCTTTAACACGCTGGGTAATTTTGAACATTTCTTGCATATATTATTTCAGCAGAAATCAGATTATGTGAAACTGTACCACTTCTAAAACAGAGCAACAAAATTTTATATATATATATATATATATATTTGGTCTGGTTTCGTATATAAACTTTTACTTGTCCAAAGGCTTAATGACATGGTTTTTGATCCACTCATTATTTTCATTCTGCTACATTCAAATCAAATTTCCACAAACACTGCCTTGGAAACTTTTAAAGTATTTTACAACAAAGTAGGAACAGCTCCTATAAACATGCAACAAGTGAATTATATTATTTGAATAATTAATTCATAATTTAGAGGTAGCATGTGAGACTGAAATTTTATGCTTAAACATTGTTCTCAAGGATTTTTCACCATGATGGTAGAACTGTATAAAGATGTGCCCACCTAAGCCCACCCCTCCCTGAATATGCCTGGAACTTTGGACTGTGAGTTAAAGCACCTTAGAAAACCTGAGATAAAGATACTATAGTTCAATTGACACAATTGTTCAATTATCTCAGGTCTAGGGAGAAGTAAGCAAGGCTAAGGGAGAGGAAGGCATCCACCAGAAAGCAAAATCCAGCAGCTGTCCCAAAAATCAGCTCTGGTTTGGTTTGGGGTGGGGGAGGCCCATTTGCTTACTTAGGCCAGGTGTGCTCAAACTCCCATACCGGGGAGAAGTTCTGGGAGTGTGGCATAGCCTATGGTCAGGAGCGAACACCCATCCTCCCTTACACTCAACCGGCTCAGTGGCAAATCCCTCCACCTCTGGATGGCCATTATGCACACAGCATTCACGTGAGAAGCAGCTGAGGAGGTGTCATAAGCCATCAAAGACCCTGAAGCACCCCCAGATTCCTTCCTGAGGCAAAGTGATGCAACAGATACGTTGCAAAACAGTCTGTTGCAAGAGACAGTATCAAACATTAATACATTTGAATGTATATTAATCTACTGAATTCTGTGGTTTTTGGGGGATCCTCACCAAGAAGACCAGAAGAAGGTGGTGAAGATGCCACTGGAAAACTAGTTGTGATATTTCTATTTCACCTGTCTCTGTCACTCTCCCTCCATCCTTACTCCCCTCTTTTCTGTTTCTATCTCTCTCTCATTAGCTGTTAAACAAAATCCATAAAAAAGTATGAGCATATGACTTCAGCATATGCTCTTGTTTGCACCTTAATTCAGGCAGAGGTTTTCTCGAATACTTTTAATAACGGTATCAAATGAGGCAGTCCTTAAGCTACACAACTAGCCTATTTTCTTACAAGCACTTTAAGATTCCATCTATGCATCAGGAATTTCACTGTTTCATCTCTCCATGAAAGAAATAAAATTCTAAAACAGATTGATCCTAAGACCATTTGCTACCTTCAGCAAACAATCATAAATAGGCATATTGTAATGTTAATGTACTCAAACACTCCAAAGAAATGCAACCACAACCATTAGTGCTACAAGCACACTGCAAAAGACAAACATCAAGTCAAAGGAAATCTATTTAAAAGTAACACACTTCCATAGTTAATGTCCTTATTTTATACATAAAGAGGTGTTTTTATCTAGTTTATACACAGATACAACTCCTTCTTTTCCTTCTTTCCATCTCAGCTTCCACAGGACTTCTGCTGTACAAGAACCACTTTGCAAGTTTTAGTATTATTTGCTTTCAGAGAAAAAAAATAATCCAATCATCTTGTGATTCCTCCTTATTTCTTTCACAGAACTCTTAAATTGTATGCACATTAACAAAATACAAAATGTTCATTTGGAACTGGAGAAATCATGCATTCAGAATATATGCATAGAAATCAAATATGTGCAAAGAGATTTCCATTTTCATGATTATTAAGCATGAACTTGGTGGTTTGGCTCAAATATATGAATACTGAAAAGCAAAATTTGCATTATCTTATATAGTTCAAGGTCAGTGTGCTTTAAGCAATAAAAATATTTTTGTGAATACGGGTTCAAAATATCCCCTTCCAGCTACCTGGTGTATGTTCAATACTGTTGTAACTAGAGTGCTGGTTAGAGATGTGACTGTGGGGACCAATATGCAAAAAAAGTTTTAAAAGAAGATAAAAATAAACTCCCTGCCTGTGGTAGTTTGACATTTAGGGAAAGAAGTGAGAATCACCCACAGAAGTGATTTCTTTGAGAGAAGCTGCTGGGAGCTTCCTCTGTGCCCGAGACCGGCCAATAGCTGGCCAGTTCTGAGAACTGACAGCATTTTGCATCACTGAAAATCAGATCTGCCTCAGGTGAATACCACCCTATAAAAAACCCAAGCTCAGGAACTTCTCTTTGTTCCCAGCCTTGAAAGGTATCAGAGCTCTGATGAGGCTGGCCCTGCTCCCCCGCAGCCTGTGAGGCCTGGGGGAGGCTGGGTCAAACCCCAGTGGGTCCCAGGCAGGGGATGGAGGCTGCAGGGAGGCAACCCCAGGCCGAGCCAGGTTCTGCTGTGGCGCTGGCCCCTCCTGGGAAGCTCTCTGGGTCCTGTTCTGGCAGGGTGGCTGAAGCCCTTCTGAGGGCAGCCAATCTCTTCCCAGGGACCCCCCAAGCCCTTTTCAGCAGTGCTGTCAGGCTAGGCTGGCCCTGGCTTGGCTGAAATTCTGCTGCTGCTAAGTTTTACCGGGAAGTGCCAGGCAGAGGGAGGGAAAGCCATCGGCTGGCAGTGAGCTGCCTCTGAATGCTAGCCTGGCTGCTGAGATCCCAGTGCAGCCACCAAAAAATCATCCAGCATAAACAGCTCCGGCTGCTGCCCTGGAAGAGATCACATGACCATCCACAAGACGGGGCACAATCTCACACTTTCACTACACAGATGAGACCTGCAAACCTGGTTTTGACCCCAGGGAGAGAAAAGAGTGATCAAGACATAGAAAGACAACATGAAAACATCAAGGTCAGTAAAAGAAGGAGTCATGCCTCAGATAGGAAAGGGATGAGGAAATGCCGAATGGGACTGAAATATTCTTTTGGTAGAGCCATGGAGATGGACAATGATATAGCAAAACACCTCCTTTAATTAATGAAAGAAGTACTGGGGGGATGAAGTATTCAAGCTGTAGATCTGAGCAGAGGCATCCACAGATGAAGCTAAGCAGATGGTGGAGTAGCTGTGATACCATGAGCAGCTTGAACAGAGAAAGAGAAGTGAGAGCTGATGAAGACCCTCTGCCCCAGAGAGAGAAGGAGAAACCCTCTGTTCCCAGAGATGATCACAGAGACAGATGGGGAGAACCTTTGCCTTTGAATAACGCATCCTTAAAATAATACTCCTTGAGTTCATGGCCCATGGACACACATCTAGGAAGGCTGTGAAAATGGGAGGAAATGTCACCATGGCAGAATTTTTGCCTGGGCAGCTGCTATTCACAGAAATGAAAAGCCATGAGAAAACTATTTCTTGAGGAGAAGTCTCTATGGCATGACAAGAGAAAACTTCTCTCCCTACAAGGACAGATAAAAGATTATTGTAGAGCTGGTACTGTTTTAACATCCCAGGTTTTGTCTTTATGCTGTCAGGATATTGCTGAAAGGAAAAAGTTGGGCAGGGGAAGGAAAGGTTTCTGGAAGTTTTATTCTGATGCTTCTTATTCTTGTAGTCCTGTTAATAAAGTTTCTTTATACCTTTTAAGTTTTATGCCTGCTTTGCCCTTCTCCTAATCCATATCTCACAGGAAGAAATGAGTAAGTGCCCTGGTGATTTTGGCCAGCACTACAAGCCATCACACTGCCCCAAAGAATCTGCATTTTCTAATGAAGACAAGGACATGGACTAAAGATGTTTATATATCATGTTCAGAGCAACACATAGCTAGCCAGTATAACAGCTGGAAATAATGACTATATCTCTGTATTTTTACCACTGACCTGTCCCACTGAAGCCCCTTCATATTTCCTTTAGTAAAAATACCTTCTTCAAAGTCAAGCAAGTTAAATTTATTCAATGGGAGCAACCCAGATCAAATTCATCAATCATGCTGTTGGATGCTTAAATATGAAAAAGGAACCCTAAGGCAAGGCTTTCTCATTTATTTATCAAAGATCCTAAGCATATTAATAGAGTCTAGTATAATTTAGTGCGA